ATAATTTGCCTTCAAATCACGTAGTGGTTTTGTTAATATAGAAATATATAATATACTGCATGGAAAGTGATTTTGTGTTCAAATTCAGAACACTTAATAGAGGTAACCCCGACAGCATTCCAACGTATAGTCATGTTGATGATCCATTCTGATAGGTAGACTCAACATTATTCGACCAACATTCGATTAACTCTGGCAGCACTTCCGCTATGATACGTCAAATTTGGTACAAGGATGTTATGTTTAAATTGACTACGTCATGAATTTTCTATGGTGTATATTTGTAAAATCTTTGTTACAATTTTTTCTACATGAAAAGTGAGTACTACCGGCACTCGATGTATCCTCAAATTCTCACCTGATAAGGTGTTTTTCAACTGTAGTTAAAAAAAAACCAAAATCTGGGCGATTTGATATATTGATCATGACATTAAATGCTTGCTATGGCCTATGTATGAGCATAGATATATACAACGGTGTGTATATATACATGTGTTGTATATATCTATGGTATGAGTCACGAGTGTTTGTTCACATCGAACGGAATAGCAAAATAGGAAGTATAATGCAGCCGATTACACGCACGCTAGTTTAATACCATATCAAATTGGTCAATCTGTACGGGGTATCACTTACATTTTGTGAAAAAGTGGATATAATTTGTTTACTTTTACTATTTCCGGTGACGTAATCATGCACTTTAACAGCTATGCCGTATACTAACTAGCCAAGAGTGAAGTATAGGGAGCAAGTCGACAAACTAATTATTTTTAGGGAACATTTAGCATATAAAGTAAGTAGTCCCAACAAAAATGTTCTTCATGCAATCTTATCCGATTGAATGTTTTTTCGTCAATAATGTAATAATCAAACTATCTGACATAATGATGTTTATGTTAAATTATGAAATTTCTCCAAAGAAACGGCAAATGCGGAGTACGCTTCAATAATCAACCATTTTAAACATCATATACGGAAACCAAGAAAAATGAAGGAGCATGTGATCAGTTTCACTTAAGTTATAGGAAAAAGTAGTTCAAATGCATCCTTCGAAATTAACTTTTTTAGTGACTAATCTATGATCAATCATGCGCCTCGTCTTAAAATGTTATTCGTTAGCTCCTCGTTTCGAAATTATGTTCTACTTTTTTCGAAAAAGGACAATAAATATGGCTGCGAAAATGGCGTGAAACGTTGGTTAGTCCCTCGAAATGCTTTATTTGCGCACGTTTTCTGATGGTCGCGTAGCAGTGTTGGCGGTCCATGGACGCAGGGTCCACTATTGAGGATTAGCTATTCTCTTGCCCGATGCTTTACGTTTTACTACATTTACTCACGTCCACTCCGTGACATTCTCTAACCTATGCTAATTCCACCAAGAATCGAGGAAAATCCATGATCGAAGTTTCAATGGCGGGCATGATCGCCACAGAAAGCCCCGCCACAGAAAGCCCGACCACGGGGTAAGGTGGACAAATAGTAGACAAAGCACTTACGGCGCGTTGCACGAAGGTTGCCCCGGCGCTCCCATAGCTGACCCAATAACGCTCGCATTGCTATCACAAACACACGCATACACACACGCGCCTCACACACAAACACACG